GCCTTTCTCAGCGTCAATGGTGATTTTGAGGCGAATAGGGCTGCCGTCATCCATGAAGTCGACTGCAGAGAGGTCCTTGCCCTCAAATCGTTTGGAGACAGTCTTGAGGAGATTTCTGACCTGCAGCTCGGCGTTTTTCTGGATTGCAACCATGTAGAACTGCACCGTATCTTCGCCATACTCTTCAACGAGGCTCTCAATGAGAGAGATGCCCTTTTGGTTGGCGGAGACCTGGGCACGGAGATCGTTGATGTTGTCTGCCAAGGTGCGAGTTCCGCTGCAGCCAGGATATTGGGCGGGCTCCTTGTAAAACAACTCGATGACTCTCTGCTCGTTGAATTTGCCCTCACTGACAAGCTTCTCGCTTTTGATCGCTGCTCCTTCTTGCCAGAGCTCCCTGGAGTGGGGTGGCATGCTGCCAGCAGTGATGCCGCCGATATCCGCATGGTGAGCTCTCGACGCGGCGTAGAACAAGATCTTCTCGCCGGCTTCGTCGAATGCTGGCATCAGGAGCGTGACGTCTGGAAGATGGGTCCCGCCATATGAGGGGTGGTTTGATATAATTACGTCACCCCTTTTGAGCTTGCCCTTCCAGATTTCAGCCTGCCGCCGGACACAAGTCGACATGGAACCTGGGTATTGTTAACTTGGTCTAGCCATGCCTCGGGAGCCACACATACCTAAATGCACTGGTAGATGAGGCGCATTGGCAACCAGCCCGCCCGTAGAATCGAATATGGCACAAGAGAAATCAAGCCGCTCCTTAACATTGGTGCTGACGCTTGTCTTTTGAAGAGCCCTGCCCATCTGCTCAGCGATGGCCATGAACCTGTGACCGAAGATGCTGAGCATGATAGGATCGACCTCGCGATCCTCCGAGGTGTTGGAAGACCTATTTCTGTTAGCTGGTTGCCCACATAACCGCAGATATGATGACCAACATACTTATCCTTCTCCCCATCGCCCTTACTGTCAATGATGACGTGAGTCTCGAGAACCAGAGCTATAGATTTTGGTGTGACAACAATTGTCTGCGTTCCATCTGCCAGCATAGCTGGGCCATTCACCACACTTCCTAGATCGAGGTCGCTCAGCTTGTAGATTGGTGTGTCCAAACGACCACCTTCAAAGTAGACCTTTGCTTCTGAGTGACGCTTCTGTGCCGGGGCTTCCCGTCGCTCCACGGCCTTCAGCTGCTCATCAACCGATTTCTCCTCGTGCTGGAAGCTTCGGCCAATTCCTCGCACTCGAACGTCGTCAACAATGATATCCCGGTCATCCAGGGTGAAGCCGAACTCGTAGCGATGGCGTTTGACAAAACCGATGCCAAACGCCCAGTCGTTGCCGTTGTAGAGCTTTTCTGCTTCCTCCTTGCTGGGCTTGATGATCATGAGTGCAGACTCAGTACCGCGATACCTCATGTTGAGGTATTCCTCAAAGACGATCTCGTCATCCTCAAAGCCCTGGTCCCGCAGCGCCTGGCGAGACTTTTCTTTGAGTGCCTCCATCTTTCGCTTGAGGCCCTCCACGACTTCTCCTTCATCCTTCCAGACCGTGGAGTCCGGCTCCTGTCTCTCGTCCACAACATCGGCTAATGCCATGCCGTATGCTGAAAGAACCGAGGAGTAACGGTGGATTAGAATCTGCTTGATACCCAACGACTCGGCAATGGCGACGGCGTGCTGGCCACCGGCACCACCAAAAGTTGCCAGCCTGTGCTTCGAAGAGTCGTGGCCCTTGGCTTCTGTGATGCTCCGGATGGGTCGAGTCATGGCCTCGTTGGCAACTGTAAGGAACCCGTGTGCGACTTCATCGATGTCCATGTTCTTCCCCGTCTCCCTGTTGATCTGGTCTGTCAGCTCCTGGAGCACTTTTCGGCTGGCCTCGGGATCCAGCCCCTCATCTTCATTCTTGCCGAAGATTTTTGGGAAGAACTCCGGTAACAGTCTTCCTAGAAACAAATTGGCGTCTGTGACGGTAGCGGGGCCTCCTTTCCGGTAACATGCTGGTCCTGGGTGTGCCCCAGCGGATTCAGGCCCAACCACAAACAGCCCATTGCGGAAGAACAGCATTGACCCGCCACCGGCCGCTACTGTGTTTATGTCAAGTTGTGGGGACTGAATGGTGACACCAGCCGTTGTAGTCTCGAACGTATGGTCGTATCTCCCCTCGCCGTAACGAGACACATCGGTGCTGGTTCCGCCCATGTCAAAGCCGATGACCGGAATCCTCGTCTTCTCGTCATACGATGTAATCGCATAACCGACGACACCGCCCGCTGGCCCTGACAGAATGGCCTTCAATCCTGTGAACTTTTCCACATCGACCAGACCTCCATCGCTCTGCATGAACTCGCAGCGGGCGCCCTTCTTGCCGTTCTCTTGAGTCACACGCTGACTGCCAAGCCCGCCCTTGAAGCCCTGTTGGAAGCCAGAAACATACTTCTTGATAGCTGGCGTGAGGTAGGCATCCGCGCACACAGAAGTAGCACGCGAAACAAGCTTGATCATGGGCATAAGCTCATGGCTGAGGGAAATGTGCTGGAATCCTATCTCTCGAGCAACCTCGCCAACAAGCGCTTCGTGATCGGGAAATGTATAGGCGTGCATCAAGCAAACGGCAATGCTCCTGATGCCGCTGCCGAATATTTGCTGGAGCTGCTCCCGGATGACCTCCTTCTCTGGCCGCTGCAAAATCCGTACGGTTTCGCCTGAGAGACCCATCACGAGGTCACTCGTCTTGGCCTCAGCAGTGCCGACCTTGACGTCTATCCGGTTAAGATGGCGCGTTGGGTCTTCTGCGTAATCCTCGAGTGTCACTCGCTCGTCAATTTCGATGACGGAAGAGTAGAGCACATCAGGTTTGCGGATAGCCAGGTCGAAAATCTTGGGGCGGGACTGGTTGCCGATGACAAGGCAGTCCTTGAAGCCCTTAGTGACAACCATGGCGATCTTCTCGCCCTTGCGCTCCAGCAGGGCGTTTGTGGCAACGGTGGTGCCCATGCGGATCGACTCGATCTGGGCTGTGTCGAGGGGCTCGCCGCGAGGGATGTCGCGCTTAAGGAAGTGCGACATGACCCGGCGGATAGCCTCAAGGGGCGCATCGTTGTAGTTTGCGGGATCTTCCGATAGCAGCTTGATAACGACATCTTCGCCGTTGAAATTGCCGACGCAGTCTGTGAAGGTGCCACCTCGGTCGATGGCGATGCGGATGCCCCGCGCTTTTTGTTGAGAGCTAGAACCCATTTTTGAGGGTTAGAGTACTGAGCGACTTCAACAGCCTTGTGTGGGTGTGTTGGTGTGACGAGGAAGGGGTGCCTGTCGTATCTAGGCTCTTATGTTGCGGGAAAGAGGGACAGAGGCTGCATGAGGCGTGGATTGGAAGTTTGCGGGTTCAGGAAGGAGGACCAAACCGCCACAAAGAATGCAAGCAACGAGAAGGGTATATGCAAAAGCAACTGAGTGAATTGCCTCATCAACAAGGCGTAAATGAATGCAACTGTCGTTATGAGAGCCCGGAGCCAGCGGCTCAGGGGGGGGGTTGTTCGGCAGCCGTGCCCCACTTCTAGCTACCCCACCATACCGATCGTCGGGGAGGAAGGCCGATCAACTGACGCCACCGTTATCACGATTCACCCCGCAGCGGGCGCTGACAGCGGCGAGCTGCCGAACCTTCCAACGGCCAAGCTTCCCGATGGCACAAGTCTGACCCGAACACGTTCAGCCTTGTGGCTAGGTACCTTCCCGTCACTTATCCAAACCCCTCAGCTTCTCCCACTCGTGTTCCAGCATTCCCATGTGGACGGTATCCCACCATTTCCTTTCAAAGGGAATCGCCTCCCTTTCCCTACCCTCTTCAACAAACCCGAGCCTCTTATACAGCCGTATCACGTCAGGATTGTATCCAAAGGCTTGCAATCCAATAAGGTGTAGTCCCGCCCGCATAAACCCCCAGTCCAACAGCCAGTTGATTGCCTCGGTGCCGTAGCCATTTCCGCGATACCCTGATCCAAACACCAATCCCATCTCCGCCGTTCTGTGAAAGGCTGACTCGACTCCTCGACGATACCACAGTACCAAGAAGCCAATGGGCTTCGGCCTGGCCTCTTTTTATTGTCTTCGCCCGTCTTTGCATCCTGGTCTTTATTCACTTCTGGCGGGGGGCAAGCAAACACGGCCATGAGCGCCCCTTTGGTCCAGGCGAGTAACGTGTCCGAGCAGGTCTTGTTTCCCGTGGCGAGAGGCTTGACGTTCATCATGGCCATTCCGGTCGGCTCGCCATCATTGATGTCGAGGAGCGAGAGCTTGTCCTCATCGTCGTCTTCCGGTAGGCTGTAAGTCAAGGTTCCAGGGCTGTTACCCAAGGTGACAAACTACGGCACGATATACAAGACGCTCGCTTTTCCAGGCGTTTGCCAGATTGCTTTGCTCTGCCATCTTTGTTGCGTGGTGAAGCTGTTGTCGGGTGGTTACAACACTGTGGCAGCGCTTTCACAGGATGAAAGCCCTAGAACTTAAGTAGGTAGATGTGCCTGACAAATTCAGGTAACGTAGCAGGAGGATTCCCCGGCTCGATCCTGCCACCCCTCGTGATGGTCAAACAACACACTGGCGGCTTCATCCCGCGTTTCTGACGCAACATCTTCCGTATTCCGCGCTGCATCTTACGCAGTCCCGGAATGAACCATCCAGACCGCTCTTGCGCACCTATACGATGTGTTGAGCGTATCCATAGTGCAACGCAGGCTCCACGAGGGTCGTCGTACCTTCCATTTCTGGGAAGGGGCACGCACTTCAATTTGTGCACGCTTGTTTGCGCCCGCGCTTCCTCATGCCTTGAGGGTGTTTTTGGATATCCTGTTTCCTTACAGCGACTGGCTGCTGGTGAGTAAGTGGCTTACGAGGCGATGGAAGCTTGCGTAGTTGAGTATTCGACCGCAAGGTCGTCGGCATTGTCCCACCCAGACCCATAAAAAGTTCTCACATAGCGACACTATCAGCGGTTGTATAGTGTAGCGGTCATCACATCGGATTCTGATTTGGTCTTCATGGCTTGATCATTCCGGGAACTCCGGTTCGATTTTTGGTACGACCTATTTTGCTGTTTTGAGGCCGGAAGCCTTATTTTTGTTGCTTGGTGGACCTGCGGTGATGCCATGATTCGTGATAGTTGGTGAACGTCGGGGTACGGATGCGAACGGGTCTCAAACACGTCGACTGTGAACTTTTACACACAAAATCGCGCCAGGGAAGCCTGTGGGTATCATAAGACATCAGTTGAAGAGATTATTACGTACAAGTCATCCTGCCTGATCAAAGCCCAGTTATGACGAGAGTAAATTCAACCCTCTGCGCCGTTGCGCCAGCCTAAACATGCCGCCCATTGTACCCGAACAAATTACCGTCCACCCAAGACCCAGGAAATATTTACCAAATCCGTCATGGCCATGCCGGAGATACATGAAAAGAGACGTGAAGCGGGTCGGATTAGCGGAGGGAGCTCAGAAGATGCCGATCTAGATCCTTGCTGTCGAAAGCGCGCATGAGGTTCTTGATAACAGGAGAAGCCTTCGTGGCGATGGCTCCCTACTCCTCGTCGCTACCCTCCTCCTCCTCGTCGCTCGTCTCCTCAATGTTCGACTTTTTCGGCTTCTGCGATTTCTCTGCTCTCTTGGGTTTCTTGGTCTTTTTGGTCTTCTCTGCCTTCTCCGGCGCCTCGGCGACCGGGGCTCCGCCGTTACCCGTGTCAGGGAGGGACAGCTCATGACCGTCTTCCACCAGGGCTTGGACAAGGGCCGGCATCGCGTCGATAAGTCCTTCGAACTGCTCGACCGAAAGAGAAATACCCTGCGAGTGTCAATTGAGGACCGAGCATTAGGAAATGGCTGCTCACCTTCTTGCCCGGCTTCGCCTCGCCAGTCGTCTTGTCGGTGTAGTACTCCCGGATGTTAACCAGAGTAGTGCCCTTGAACTTGGAAATTGTCACGCGGCGGGTGCCACCAATCTGGCTCGACGTCAATTGGAGCGAAAGGTAAATCTGCAGAGTGAACTTACCTCCCACATGGGGTTGCCATCAGCATCGGTGCCACTATTCGTAGACGGCGGGGCACTGTTGGCCTTAGCTTTAGGCGTCTTGGTGGTCTTTGAAGAGCTGGCTTTCGCCTTCTTGAGGTTAGGGGAGGCGATGTCCTCGCCATCGCTCTCGGCGGCGCGTTTTCCCATGATGGGCCGTAGGGTGGGCGAGCTGTCAAGGAGCGGATTGGTCTGGTCGCGTTGCGAAGCTTGGATGACGCGCTTTTTGGGTAATGCGCGATAGACGTTGAGGAGGAAAGCGCCAAATCACGTGGCTGTACTAAGTTCGATGTGGGAAGGCGGCCCCACCTTGGACTGGGTGCTGGTGCACTTGGGATGCACATTGGAGACGTTGCGCGTTTGGCCGACTGCACGCCCCACCAGTCCAACCAACCCGCCAAGACGGCCGACCGTCCAGGGGTCCGGGAATTCGTCAATTCGACGGAGCTTGGCTTTCCCCCTGAAAAATAGTCTCCTCTGAAAATCCGGGGGGTTTGTTCGAAACAAGATCCAAGTGCCGGTTGTGTAGTGTGCTTGCGATTGCGACAAGTTGCGCGTGCAACAATTTCTCCTCATATTTTTTCATCCCCAGCCTCGCCAATTCCTGCAAGCTGTCCAAGCCCAAAACGACAAGTGCTGTGCCACGAATTCCGCCGCCCTCGGAGCCGATTTGATCCAAGTCAGCGTCAGCCCCGAGGCCACGGTCGCCGATTCACTGCCCACGATTTACTTACCCCGATTTGCGACAGGCTGGTCCGAGCCCGTGGTTCCCCCCGGGGGCGAGATCGCATGACACAAGCGGAGGCTGGAAGATGCGCGTAGCTGGTGCGCCGCAACCAACACGATGGAAGAAAAAACCAAAACACAACTCGAGGCCGCCGAGCCGATTGCTCAGGCGCCCCAGGGCCAGGACAAGCCCCCGAAGCTTCCGGACACCCCGGACGCAGTAGCAACTGCGGGGGAGGAAGATCTCACGACGAAAATCTTCCAGTTCCTCGCAACCGCTACTCCCGGAACCCTTGGTGGAGTTGCTGTGGGCCTGGCCGCCGTCACCTACTTCATCCTTGGGCAGATCGGCCTTCTTTTAATAGGTGCCTTTGGCGGTATCGTGGTATTCATACAATGGGAGCAGAGGAATGCGGACGTGGCTCGCGCTGTTAAGGGGGAAGGGGGCTTGGACGTCCTCACGAGGCTGCTGGAACTGAAGAAGAGCCTGGATTTGGAAAGAGAAGCAGGGGGTGAAGATGGCCAAGAAAATGTTTTGGCCCGCAATACTGGCTTGGACGACTTTCGGCCGGAGACGCGCGACGCCTTGAACGGCATCGTAGAGGCGGTGGTCCGCGACTACGTGAAGTGGTGGTATTCGCCGATCGTGCCGTCCGACAAGTTCTTCCCAGTTGCTTGCCGCAAGACACTGGTCGGTTACATCAACAGCATCGCCAATCATCTGAGCAGGAAGCGACCAGCCGACTCGTTTCTCGACTTCTTGACAAACTCATCTTCGATCATGATTGTCTTCTTTTCGGAGCTGTCGAGCGTGTTTGAGGGGATACCATCTGATTCGAACCTGCTGGCCGCAGATGCGGTCTACAACTATCTTGCCGCGCACCCTGAATCTAATTTGGCCAACTTGCTGAATAAGAGGCAACAGGCCAACAAGTTCAGGATGGTTGCCGAGGATCTCCTGGGCTTCTTGGAGCGCCAAACATATGAGTGCGACCCGGCAAGGGTGTTTTTGCGAGAGATATTGGCAACCAGCATCTTGGAGACGACGTTGCAGAAGTGCTCCAGAGCGGAGTGGATCAACTCGTGGATTGTGTACCTGCTCGAGGCGGGAGAGCCCGACTTCAGCCACGCTATCGATGTTGGGATGCAGACCGGACCCGGCACGGACGCTGCTTTTGCCGATTTAGACGGTAATGTCGGCAACATCGGCCTGACAAGAGGAAACAAGAACTCCTTTGAGCAGGAAAGAGCCCGACGAAAGGAGTCCATGGCGCACAAGAAGAAGCTCAGCAAGGCCGAGGAGGAGCTGGAAGCTATGGAGGAGATCAAGCGGTTGAACCAAATGATCGCGGACGAGGACGCTCGGAGATCAAAGGCCTCTTTTGAGGCTCCGGGGTCCCCTACGACTAGCCCTGAACCTGTTGAAGAAGAAAGTACAAGAGAAGCCTCTGAGAGGCTAGCTGGTGCTTTCAAGCGGAATGCGGACGAGCTTGATGTCCAAAAGGAAGCTTCTGAACCGCAGAGCGACGGATCCTCAAGCAGCAAAGACATTATTCACACTCCGTTGACGCCACTCTCTATGCAAGAGTCTTTTGTCCAAGAGCAGTCACCGCCGCCGCCGCCACCACCACCAAACCGGAGTTCTCAGTTTACGAGCTTCGATCAGATTGTCCCGCCTGTGCCAGAAGGCGCAGAGGCTGAAGAAGAGGTCCGGAAGCCTCCACCCATGACTCTCTACCAGGCAACCATTACTGTGCTGGACGAGCCTGGTGGCAGAATCAAAGCCAAGCCGACATGGGACTACCTCGTCCAGATAGAGCCAGCAACAACGCACTACCCAGGGTGGATGATTGTCAGGAAGTACAGCGATTTTGAGCGGCTGCACGAGGTGCTGAGGCGAATCGCAACGATCTCTGGTGCCACTGCCTTCTCCGAGAAACACAGCCAACTCCCAGCTTGGAAGAACCAAACGAGGACTTCCTTGCGCGATGCACTGGAACGCTATCTCCGAGAAGCCTGCTGGTACCAGTCCCTTGCTGACAGCGAGGGCCTGAAGCGGTTCCTGGAGCGAGACCAGGTTGGGAACCCTGGCGGTCCCAAACTGAACCTCCAGGCTTTTGAGAAAATTGGCAAGAATGTCTTTGACGTTCTGACCAGCGCCCCTCTTGAAGGCTCCAAAGCTGTCGTTGGTGGCGTTACGGGCGTGTTGGGAAATATCGGCATCGGACAGCGAAAACCGGCGGCTCCCGCAGCTGCTCCCACGCCAACGCCAGCGGCACCTCTGCAAGACGTCACTGCGGCGAGCAGACTTTCCATTTCCAGCCGACCATCCAGTCTGCCGCGGGTGGATAGCAGCGTCTCACTTAGTGGTGGTCGCAGGACCCGAGACAGCCTTGATAGTCAGCGCTCTTCCGTCGTGTCCACACAACCAGGCAAGATACCCGGAATGGAACGCCGTCCCAGTGACAACTCACAGTTTGAGTTTGAACCCCCAAGCGTCCAGCGGTCGCGCGCCTCCGCTCGAAACAGCCGTGATAACAGCCGCGCATCGAGCCTCGCCCCGCCCCTTCGATCTCCCTCAGCCCTGAGCATCGAAGGCCTCCGCCTCCCCCCGCCGCCCGACTCTATGGCCGAAGACTACGAACGGCAATCCCCCATCAGCCCTCTCGGTCGGCCCCAGGAATTTCCCTCCCACTCCCGGTCGCTCACCATGCCCGCGCTCGGTGTTCGCCGCTCCGCGACTCCGCCTCAACAGCAACCACCGCGCCAAGGCAAGCAACACACCAAGCTCTCTGAGCAAGAGACTCGTGTCGCCGTTGAGCTGCTCTTTGCCATCATAAACGAGCTCTACACCCTATCCTCAGCATGGAACATCCGCCGCACCCTCCTCGCAGCCGCCAAGTCCTTCCTCCTCCGTCCTGGCAATCCCTCATTGCTCTCCATCCAATCTATGCTCCAGTCCTCAGTCCTTGATGCGAACACTTCTGACGCAGGCCTTGCTGCGCATCTGCGCAAACTGAGGGAGAACACGCTCCCCACGGAAGAGGAGCTCGCGGCGTGGCCAGCAGAGTCGACAGCGGAGGAGAAGGAGAAGTTGAGAGTCAAGGCGAGGAAGTTACTGATTGAGAGCGGTGTTCCGGCGGCACTGATGGGAGTGATGGGACAGGCGGCTACGGCAGATGCTCTGGGCAGGCTGTTCGATTGTTTGCAGGTGGAAGAGGTGGCGAGAGGTTTGGTGTTTGGGGTAATGTTGCAAGCTGTCAGGGGAGTTACGCACTGATGGAATTTCCAAGAGAA